GCATTGTACCCATTCTTTCCGTACCCATGTCGGCCGTCCTGGAGACCGCCCGGCACACCGTTCCAGAGTACACCCCCAGGGCTGCGTCCGGTGGGTGGCCCGGGGGCGAGGACGACCCCCTCGCGAAGAGCAGAACCTGACCGCGCGGGGCCACTCGCGAAAGGGGGGCATAGCAAAGCAGGAGCTTCGGGCTGGGCGAAAGGGGGGGATAACGAAGGGGGGGGGTGAGAATCAGCTCACGTGGCTGACTTTCCCGGCGCCTCCGGGCGCCGGGAGGCGCCCATGTATCGAGGAATGGGCCCGGCGGCGAGGCCGAAACCAGCTGCATGCAGCAGATTTCGTACCCCCCCCCCTTTCCATATCCTCCCTTTCGTTCGGCCTGACATTCGCATGGACCGAATTGCCACGAAACTTTCGTCGGACAAAGGAATCAAGCCGGAGCAGCACTCCGAGACAAGCGTGTCGCCAGAATGCAGGTGTCGCCAGAATGCGGGTCGCCAGAATGCAGGTGTCGAGACGCCATCAACCAGAAATGTTTTGATAGCAGGTCGTGCGAACCTCCGAAGAGAGTCTTCGAACATTCTGTGGTGGGCCCACAGGCAAGCCAGGACGCTTCTCCACTGCTCGAATTCTGCCTTCCCCCCATGGGCTCGCCGCCGAACTTCGGACTCGTCGGGCCGACATGCATGGGCCTCTCTGGAGGGGCGGTCGGCGACCCAAACCCCCGACGCCGTGATTGTTTTACAACGTCGACCCCCAGAGGTCTGGACCCCCTCCTCCTCCTCCTCCTCCTCCTCCTCCTCCTCCTCCTCCTCCTCCTCCTCCTCCTCCTCCTCCCCCTCGTCCTCCTCCTCCTCCTCCTCCTCCTCCTCCTCCTCCTCCTCCTCCTCCTCCTCCTCCTCCTCCTCCCTCCTCCCCCCCCCCCCTCCTCCTCTTCCTCCTCCTCCTACTGCTGCGCATCGGGCCGCATCGCCGATGCATCGGCGATGCTGCGCGATCCTCCGACCCCATCTGGGGGGCCTAGACGTGATTTTTCTTCCCCGCCGCGAGGAGGTCTGGGGACCCTCCGCGCCCCCCCACGCGGCCTCCTGGACTCCCGCGCGGGAACTGGTCGCACCCGGCGCCGGCTCGTCTCGCGGGGCTCAGGGGCGGCCCTTCGGGGGGCTGCGCTCAGGTCGGGCACGTCATCCTACAGGCTTATTTGGGACGAACGAGAAGAAATAGTCAAAAGATACGCAACAAAATCAAAACTGGTAGAAACAGTCACCAGACAGTGTTTCACAATTCTTGAACATTCCTCCTGTAGAGGGACACGCCCGACTTAAGGCTAGGCTTAGGTCGGGCACGTCATCCTAATTACAAGCGGACTTCGGAAGGAAACTGCAACATTGCCCATACAAATATCCGGAACTACTCAGAAGTACTAGAGCAAGTCCCCACACCATTCTTCTTATTTGAAAATCCTCCTGGCGAGGGACATGCCCGACGCAAGGCTGGGCTCGGGGAGGACAGCAAAAGGGCAAGACAGCAGAGGGCGGGGCAGAGGATCGGCTCACGTGGCTGGCCTTCCTGGCGTCTCCTGGCGCCAGGAGGCGCCCGCGCCTGGGAGGCGTGGGCACGGCGGCGGGGCGGAGCCGGCTGCACGCAGCAGGCGTCGTATCCCCCCCCTCGCCCTGGCCGTACCCCCACCTTGCCTTCGGCCCGAGGGGCGGTGGCGCCTCGGCGCCAACGAGACACCGGAAGCTCAAGACGGGTGCTGGAGGGGGGGCGAGGACGAACCGACCGGCCGGCTCACTCGATCGGATGAGCTGGTCTGACTGCCTGCCAGGCCACCCCAACCCAACCCGAAGACCCGAAGCTCGGGTTTGGGGGGAGGAACGGGCTTCAGATGTGGTCTTCAATGTTTCCCGGCCACCCCCCCCACTGGAAATGGAGGGCAAATCGGGGCCTTCGGGTGGGGTTAGAGGGTGGTTTGGTGGACGGCGATGGTGGACGGTGATTGTGTTTGTCTGCGGATGACGGAGAGGCAAAGTTTAGCTCGAGCATGTCCTCCTACAGTCGGATTTTGGAGGAGAAATAAATAGGAGACAGTCCAAACATAGTTGAAGAATCGTCCCCAGAGTATTTTTGCACCATTCTCGAATATATTCCTCTTGCAGAAGGACATGGCCGATTCAGTGCTAGAAGTGACTCCCATGGCCCAAGGTGCCCCCAGGATTTCCCAGGAAGCCCCCACATGGCCTCCAGAGCACCCCTTGCGAGGCTCAGAGGGCCCCAAGAGCTCCAAGACGGAGGAAAAAAAAAGTCGGGGGCATCCTCGGCCAGGGGCACCTCTAGCAACCCCTGGAAGGGCTAGGAGGCAACTCCTGGGAGGTCTTCGGCAAGGCAAGACGTTGCAGGGCTTCAGTAGGAGCTCGACCACAAGAAACCTTCCACAAGAAACCCAGCCCTGAAAACATGGGATGTCCATTGATTGTGATGTCAGAACGTCACGCTTTCCATCGCACAACCATCGAAACCCAGGAAACCCAGGGCGCCCTCGAGGCAAGCAGGGTGTCTCTTGGCACAGGTTTCCACTGTAGCAGGCACGGTTCAGGGGCCCTTGCGCAGGATCAGGCCGGATCGAGCCATGATTCGGGCCAGATGGAGCGGGATGGAAGCGGAATGAGCGGGAGTACACTCAACCCGTATCAGAAGGATGCCCGGTAAGGATGCAAAGGGCTTGGAGGCCCATGCGAACGTTTTTCGAACGAGGTTTGACAGCGAACGTCGCTAAGCATGGGCCGAAGAGGCAAGGATGCAAGGGCCAACTTGAACAAGTCGCTCATCCTCACTTGACTGTAACCCAGATAGGGCCAGCTTTCGACCACGGATCTGGGGAAACCAAACGGTGCCGATACCGGTACCCCCCGGACCTCTCCCGGGATGCGCTCTGACAAGAATCTCAAGGCGAATCCAGCGGTGGCGACGAGGGCCTCCCAGGAGACCCATAAAGGGGGAAAACGAGGGAAGGGTGGCGGTATGGGTACTCCGAGATTCCGAATAAGCGTCGGGGGGGCGTCACCCCCACCGACAGCCCCACATCCACCCCCGTCGCGGGCAGCCACCGCGCGCCGAAGGCGCTCCGACCCCCGTCGCGGCGCGACGACGAGGCGAGGCTGACCCCCGTCGGGAGGGTCCCCCCCCCCCTCCGCTTGTTACGAAACATGGAGTACCCTTGGGTCGGGCGTGTCCCCCTACAGGCGGATCTTGGGCGAACAAACAAAGATACTCCAAAAGCATACCCCAAAATAGTCACACAGAAATCAAGAAAGAGCCCCCAGATTATCGGTCTGACTATCTTTGAACCTTCCTCCTGTCGAGGGACAGAGGCCCGACTCGAGGGTACCCCTCCTCCTCCTCTTGAGGCTCTGCCGGGCCGCCCCTCTGGACGTGTGGCCTCTCCCGGGAGCTGCACCTCCCTGGCCACGGGCGGGGCGCGTGGCGCGAGGAGGGGGGCGCGGGGCCTGCCAACAGAAAAGGCAGGCGGCGGGGCTCCCACGAGGAGGCCCGGGGGGGAGGGTGTTTGAAGGGGCCCTGGGACACACACACACACACAGAGAGAGAGAGAAATACACACAAACAAAAGGATTCCCCATATTTCCTCATATTTTCTGGGTTTTTGTCTTCCCCCCCACTTCCAATGTTTTCCCATATTTTCTCGGGTATCGACGACTAATTGTGTCTGTGTGTTTGTGTTTCCTCCTGAAACAAAAAGGCAGGCGGCGGGGCTCCCGCGAGGAGGCCCGCGGGGGGGGGCGTTCTCGGGCGCCCGGCCGGCCTCTGCCGGGTCGGGCATGGCCTCCTGCGGTTGAGTTTTGCTCCCGGCGCGTGCCCGATGAGACCACGTCCCAGAAATCAGCTCGAGCTCTCGGCAAAGTGTCGAAACATAGTCGAAAAAACAGTGTCGGGCGAGGGTCTCCCAGGGCCCGACACGTGGAAACCGTCGAGTTTCGGTATTTGTTGTTGGGTGCTCGAAACTCTTTTTCGCGATCAAGGCTAAAGTAGGCTGGAACAGCATAGTCTTACAGGCGGACTTCGGAAGAAAAATAAAACACGGCCAACACAAATAATCACATACAGCCAGACACAGTTTGAACATTGTCCCCCAGACTCGTTGTTTAACTGTTCGTGAGACTTCCTCCTGCAGAGGGACGTGCCGACTTGAGGCCTCCGAGTCGCCTTCTCAGGAGCCTCTTGAGGGGCCTTCTTCGACGGACCCTGCCGTCTCTCACACACACACGCACACCTACTGGAAGAAGGCGGCTCCCTTCGCGCCACCCCCCTGGAGGGCGCCGCCAGAGAAAGGCCAGTGAGGGGGGCACCCTGAGGCCGAAGATTGGCAAAACCGTTCCGTCGCAGCCCTTTCACAACGCGAGGGTGTCTGGGTCGACCCTCGAAGTCTGAACCGCCTCTCTCCCTCCCTCCTCCCTCGATGACTCCCTATCCTGCCAAGGAGCGCCGCCAGAAAAAAACGCCGTCTTGTAACAAGCTGGGCTGAACGAGTGCTTGTGATGTTTGGGCTCTCGTGGGCGGCTCTCGAGGGCCGCCCAAAGACTGCTCGGAATGAAGAGCCCGTCGCCCAAGAGGGAATGGAGATCTCGGGAGACCCTGCAGATTCGCAAGGACACCTGACCCTTTGAGTGGGGACCTAAATTAGGAGGTCCAAAGAATTAGGGACAGGGGGGGGGGCCTTTGTTCCGGATGTATTACCAAAACCTCCCAGTCACTCATATGATTTACCCCGAACCCAAAAAACTGGGGCCTAACTTAGGCTACGCCTTCATTTTGGTATCAGGGTTAGGGGTTCAGTCTTCCTGGTGACTGTATTCCTACTATGGCACGACATCGAAGATCTGGGGTCGGCCAGCAAAAGCCAAAGCGATGGCCAGCTGTCGCGAGTGGTTCGCCGCGCAGGGGCGCTTGCGCGATACACAAGCAGCAAAGGCAAGGGCACTGGCCTGAGCTCCCTGTACCTCTTCAGGTGCATGTACTTCAGCCAGTGGGCCCGAATGCGGGTCGCGGCGTTGGACAGCTCCTGCACGAGCGGACGGACGCGAGGAGGAGGACGAGGAGAAGGAGGAGGAGGAGGGAGCAGCCGGCCGACGCTGGGGAGGGAGCGCCGGCGGAGGAGCAGCGGCGTGGACGGCGGCGGCGGCGGCGGCGGCCACGACGACGACGACGACGGCTCCTCCTCCTCCTCCATCTCCTCCTCCTCCATCTCCTCCTCCTCCTCCTCCTCCTCCTCCTCCTCAACACGCCCGCGAGGCGAGCGGACGAAGGGATCTGTGCACTTTCGCCGATCCTGGCCAGGCCCCTCCTGGGCCCGGGGGTCGGTGCACCTGCCTCCCTTCCCTGGCCACGCCAGGCGGGCACGTGCACCGATCCTAGGCCCGGGAAGGGCCCGGCCGAGATCTGTGCATATGCGCATACTTGGCGGCGCGCACACGGGGGTGGAGGGAGGGGGGAGGGCTTCTTAGAAGGAGACTGCTTCTTAGAAGGCGCTGGCCTTACATCTGCAGATAAGGCCCGCGCCTTCTAAGAAGCAGGGGTGCTTCTAAGAAGCCCTCCCCTCTCCCAACACCCCCCTCTGCGCGTGGCTGGCATACATCCCTCATGCTACCATGAGGAACGCTGGATCAAGAACCCAGGGACTCTTCTGGCCATGTCGAGCCTCGGCTTCGAGGAGGTTCCCCGAACTGGAGCTCCGGGGACAGGCCCGAAAAACTCAGCCCCTCCTGAGCCCAGAGCGGTCCTTACCTCAGCACTCGCTCGGCATGTGTGTGGCTTACGTCTCCTTCCTCCAACGGCTGGGAAGGTCGCACGCCGCTCCCGCTCCTTGCCCTGCCAGGGCTCCCTCCCGGCCACCACGTCAGGCCCAGAACCGGGCACGGCTTCTCTCACTCGATGGGGCAGCGGGGCGCACAACAGAAACGAGAGGGCCAGAGGAACCAAAAACGGCACAAGCACAAACTCTCGAAGGTCCGCGCGAATTTCTCGAATCTGCGCTGGACCCCCCTCCCCAGGGCGCGGAGCGCCAGAGGCGCCGCCAGGGGGGGGGGCCAGCGCGGATCCAAGGAATCCGCGCGGAGCGCAACAAGTTTCTGCTTGTGGCGTGCTTTCTTCTCCGAGCAACAAGAACGAGAGGGCACAGGTTGTGAGGGGGCCTGATCACGAACAAGGACTACCGACACCACCACCACAACCACCAGCGCGAAGAGCCAGGGGCGGGTCCCACTGCCCTCTGCCGGTGTGGTCCCCGTGGTCCCCGCCGAGAGCATCCCTATCACCAGCTCGGGGAGGCATCGTGGGCCTCTCTCGTCGGAGGCGGCACCCCGGGTGGTGGGTGCCACTTTGCTCTCCTCCGACTGGGAGGACACGGAGGGAGCCCCCCACCTTGAGCCCCAGACCCGCTGACACGCCCCGATCGGAAACTGGGCACAGAACGGCCTGTGCCGCAAACCCGCCTCATCCTCCCTCCCCCCCTATCTATACCTCCTCGTCCCTCCCCCGATCCTCCTCGTCCTCCCTTTCCTCATCCTGCCCAGCACCTTGTATCGAAAAGTCCGCCGGTCACATCGACAATCGCGACAGCGAACATGGGAGGGGGTAGGGAGCGGGAAAAGACGTTGACTCATGGCGAGAGAGAGAAGAGTTGGGGATGGCTCCTGCCCCCTTTCCCCGCGACCTCAGCGTGGGCTCCGCATCCTCCGGCCCCTCCTGCCACTCCTGGAGCGAATCCGCGTGTTGGTAGGGGGGGGGCCTTGGCCAGCGCTTCTGCAACAAAAACTCCCCGCCCTTCGGGCCCAGGCCTGATGGGATCGCTCGCGCGGTGCACTTGCCCGTGGACCGCGGCTTGCGGTGCATTTCACGCATCCGACGCCTCGTCGGGAGAGCCCAGAATCGACTCGGCAAGTGGGGTCGGCGATCGAAATGAATCGGGTCGGCGGAAATCGGCAGCCGAGTCGGGAGAAATCGAATCGGCGGAAATCGGAAGGTTGGTAGGCCTCCAATGAGGAATCGAAACCCAAACTGGAATGCGAAGTCGAATCGAATCGGAATCGGAAGCCATCGAAATCGAATCGAATCGAATCAGGGGAATCGAAATGAGCCCTTCACCGGCTCGTGAATCGACGCTTCTGGTGAATGATGTTCACGCATCCGACGCATATTGGAGGAAACGGGAGGTGATGGCCCTTTTTTCAGCCACGAGGAGGAGGTGGAGGAGGAGGAGGAGGAGGAGGAGGAGGAGCACCTCCTCATCCTCCCCTCTCCCCCGTCCTACATATGGTAGTGGTGGTTGAAAGTTTGCACATCAGCACAGGGATGAACTCACGCAATGGCGGAGGGCATGCCCCGCGCCGAGCCACAAACGCTGGAGCCCGCCCAGCAAAGCGGACACGGCTCTGCCGTGTCCCGCAACTCCACCGCATCCTCACACTCGCCCTCGTAGTCGTCATCATCATCATCATCATCATCAACAACACCATCATCATCAACAACACCATCATCATCATCATCAGCATCATCATCATCATCGTCATCAGCATCAGCATCATCATCATCATCAGCATCATCATAAGCAGCAGCATCAACAGCATACTGATCATCATCATCAGCAGCATCACCAGCCTCCTCATCATCAGCATCATCGTCCTCACCATAATCATCATCAGCATCATCATCATCAGCACCATCATCATCAGCATCATCATCACGAACACCACACCAGCATCAGCACCAGCACCAGCACCATCATCATCTTCACCATAACCAACATCATTGGTACATCTCAGTCATCACAACATCACCATCAACGTCATCATCACCACCATCATCAGCATCATCATCGTGATTACCATCATCTTCATCATACTCAGCATTATCCGCATCATCCTCATCATCCCCATCATCACAATCCTCGTCCTCATCATCATCCTGATCAGCAGTATCATCGTCATCGTCATCAGCATCAGCACCATGATCATCAGCAGCATGCTCGTCATTATGACAAGCATCATCATCAGCAGCATCAGCATCAGCATCCTCCTCCTCCTCCTCATCATCATCATCAGCATCAGCATCATTGTCATCCCCATCCTCGTCCTCATCCTCACCAGCAACAATATCAACATCCTCATACTCGTACTCATCACAATAATCAGCATCAGCAGCAGCATCATCATCCTCATCACCTCACCATCATCATCCTCATCATCCTCATCATCCCCAGCCTAGTCCCCATCCTCTGATTAACAGCATTATCATCATCATCATCATCACCATCATCATCACCATCCTCAGCATCATCATCTTCACCAGCATCATCATCACCACCATCATCATCAACAACATCACATTCATCATCGTCATCATCCAAAGAAGCGTCAACCTAAGCATCAACATCGGCGACTTCATCCCCCATCGGTCCTGTATCTTGTTCTTCCGCATCCTCTGCATGACCCTCTGCGCCGCCTTGCGCCTGACGAAGGCCTCGGGTCGGGAGCTGGGAAAAGAGAGAGAAAGAGAGAGAGTAAGAGAGGGGGGAGAGGGAGACGCGCGCCAGCACAACCGATAGCGCGCTGCACCACGAGGCGGCACCCCGACGGCGCAAGATGCAAGGGGGGGGAGACACGGCACGATGCGAACCGCCGATCGTGGTCCTCCTTCCAGATCTTCCTCCGATCCTGGTCCTCCTCCTGATCCTCCCCCTGAGGCCAGGACGAGAAGGAGGAGAAGGAGGAGGATGATTGCCCTCTATGTGCACGTAGTGGTGTTCCTCATCCCCATGGGCGTCCTCTTCTTCTTCATCCTGCTCCTCATCCACCACCTCCTCTCTCAACCTCCTCTCTCTTGTCCTCGTGATATTCCTCATGATTGCCCTCCTCGGTGCCATGACAGATGGCTAGGGGTCAAGACAGTGCCATGAGAGGCAACTCAGCGACGAGTAGGAACAAAGAAGGCACGAATCGGTGGGCAATCGCTGCGCGTCACACGACAGAACACTCGTAATCCCCTCCGCATCCTCTTCCTCACGCTCCTCCTCCCTCCAACTCATCCCGCCTCCCCACCTATTGCTTATATACCTGATAACGCTCCAAGGCCTCGCTCGCACTGATCCTGCGGCGGCGGTGGGGAGGAGTCACAGCCCCTGTCCTAGCGATGCCTGCGACTCCTGGGCAGCGACGACAGGAGGAGGAGGTGGAGAGGAGGAAGAGGAGGTGGAGGAGGAGGGGGAGAAGAGGAGAAGAAGGAGGAAGAGGAGGAAGAGGAGGGGGAGAAGAGGAGAAGAGGAGGTGGAGGAGGAGGAGGGGGAGAAGAGGAGAAGAAGGAGGAGGAGGAGGAGGAAGAGGTGGAGGAGGAGGGGGAGAAGAGGAGAAGAAAGAGGAAGAGGAGGAGGAGGCTTCACCGCTCAGGAGCAGCTCTGCCGCCCGCACCTCCCTCCTCTCCCGAACTCGAGCACACTGCTCGGGGGGGACCGACGGGGGTGGTGGGGGGGGGGGGGGAGAGGCGCGCTGGGTTGCCGAACCTGGGCACGCCCGAAGGGGGCGCGGAGCAGAAGGGGGCGCGATGCCCGACGGCAGTTGCTGATCGCTAGAGGTCTTTTGCGGCGGGGGGGGGAGGCGCGCCGGGCTGCCGAACCTGGGCGCGCCCAGAGGGGGCGCGGAGCAGAAGGGGGCGCGATGCCCGACGGCAGTTGCTGATCGCCAGAGGTCTTTTGCGGTGGGGGGGGGGGATGCGCGCCGGGCTGCCGAACCTGGGCGCGCCCGAAGGGGGCGCGGAGCAGAAGGGGGCGAGATGCCCAACGGCAACTGCTGATCGCTAGGGGTCTTTTGCGGCGGGGGGGGGAGGCGCGCTGGGCTGCCGAACCTGGGCGCGCCCGAAGGGGGCGCGGAGCAGAAGGGGGCGCGATGCCCAACGGCAACTGCTGATCGGCAAAGGTCTTCGGTTGTGGTGCCCCCCACTTTTCCATCGGCGGTGAATGGGACTGGTCCTGAAACCTCCTCCTCCTACTGCTGGTCCTGCTCAGCCTCCTCCTCCTCCTCCTCCTCCTCCTCCTCCTCTTCCTCCAATTAGCTGTCGTCGTCGTCGTTGTTGCGCGGCGGGTGCCGCGGACAAAAACTAATTAGGTATTTCCTATTTCGGCTGCGAGCGAGAGGGGGGATGAGAAGGGGAAGGCCTTCTCAGAAGGCGGCGGGACTTCTCAGAAGCCCCCCCGCGCCTTCTGATATTATTTTATCGGAGAAGGCTCAGAAAGCTTCTCAGAAGGCCGGGGGACTTGCGAGCCTTCTGAGGAGGCCTTCGCCTTCTCACTTCCCCCCCTCGCTCGCCGCCGACGATTGGTGGGACCGAAGTCCTTCAGTGAGGCCGCCGAACAAAATGTTACCCGCTGTTGGGGGTGGTTCTAACGACCTCTCAGGTGTATCCAAAACCGACAGCGGCCGCTGTTGGGCAGGAAACCTTCTGTCTCACATGAACAACGTCCACGGCGACGTCGGATTGGCAGGAACTGCTGTCAGTCCCCGTTTCCACTCCACTCATAGCCCACTCCCCCCTTCTGATCAGCAGCAGGCCTTCTCAGAAGGCCACCCCCTTCGCGCAACCTTCTTGTGCGCGCCCCAAGCGTAATCGAAAAAAACAAATGGTCCCCTGTGCCCTGCTGCTTTTCACGTGAATCAGCAGGGCACTGCCCACAGAAGTCTGCAAGACTTGCCGCCCCGAGGACACAGCCCTCCACGCACCACCGCCGCCTGATGTACACCAGGATGGACCGACCTCGCGACTGCATCCACAGACAGCTGCTTCATCCCCAGATCGCCTTTTCATAACCCTGGGCGCTGCTCACGGCCCCATGGACGCCAAACGACCTACCTGACGAGATTTGCTCCAGACGCTAAGAGGTATCGGAAGCATGGATGAGAAGAGTGGTGTCCTGAACCGTCAGCACGGCTCTGAGATGTCTCTCGTCACCTCGAACTTTCAACCTGCAGACGGAAGACGAAAAGAACATTTCAAAGCGCGCATGGTAAACAGCCATCCTGAAGCAGCGCTATGCAACACCAGACTTACAGGGTGCAACGCACCACGATGTGCATGGCTGAGCTGTGAGAGCAAGCGCATGAAACTTGCAGGCGTATGCTACTACCACAATATATCCTAGACCTCCCGACGTCGCGATATCCTCACAACGTGGACCCCCGAAGGTCTTAACCCCTTCCCCGTGACCAATGGTTCGTCCCGACTCGTTGTTTGATGGTCCTGGGGCGTGGTAATGTCCCGAGGCGCCAAACATTGCCAGTTACCTCCCACAACTTGTACTCAAGACCCGAGGGAGAACCGTGGACGACAATCCCAAAGACGAAGACCGGCGGCGATGTCGGGTCATGAAACGAATCGCGCACGAGAACCAGAAGAAGGCCTGATCAGCGGGACGCTCTCCCGAAGGCGTTGGCTAGATAATATTGGCGGAATGTACCCAAACGAGACTCCTCCTCCTCCTCCTCCTTCGCCTCCCCTCCTCCCTCCCTGCTCCTTCGCCCTCCTCATACTTCCTCCACCCTGCTGCCTCTGCTTATCCTCGCCCCTCGGTTTCCCTCTCTCCCTCTCGTCTTTCGTCATCCCCCTCCTCCTCATCCTCCGCTTGAAGCATCGGATGGGAACCACTCGAGACAGTGGCAGCTCTCTCGCTCGGTCCGCGTCTGCTACACAAAAATTCAATCCCCGGAGAAGACCCCTCCCGCGGGCAGGTGGCGACGTCTGCGCCCTGTCCCCCCCCTGGCCATCGATTCTCTCCTGCATCAACGGGAGCCGGGGGCAGGGCTCGCAGGTCGCCACGTGCTCGACGAATTCAGAATTCGGAGCCCGTCGAGGTGCCTGCCGAATCGTCGATCGGCCGGCTTGAAATCTCTTTAGGGGAACGAACAGTGACATGAGCATGGAAAAACGGAGGTCCGCGCGGAATTCTCGAATCCGCGCTGGACCTCCCTGGCGCGCGGAGCGCGCCAGGGGCGGCGCCGGAGGCGCCGCCAGAGGGGGCCCAGCGAGAACCCACGAAATCCGCGCGGACTTCCGAGATTCTATGCTCATGTCATTGTTCGTTCCCCTACTCACTGCCGACGGGGTCCACCCCGAGGTCGGGCATGTCCTCCTACAGGGGGATTCTGGATGTTTCTTTGAGCTCAACGCCCGCACAGCCTTGGTGAAAAAAGACACAGCAGCGGCGGCTGGGAAACCACTGCTGGCAGCGATGGAGGCCTCGCTGACCGAAAGAGTACCTCCAGCAGCCCCATGGGCTAGGAGGCACTGGCCACACGACGGGCGACCGCCCCGTGGCCAGGAAATGTTAGATGCTCATTCTGGGGACCTTCCTGGAGCCACTCGCTCCACTCGTGCGTCGAAGCTGCGTCGAACCTGAGTCGAACCTGAGTCGAACCTGAGTCGCACCTGAGTCGAATCTGAGTCGAATCTGTGTCGAACCTGAGTCGAACAGATCAATTAGGTGGGCCCCAGGAAGGTCCCCAAAACGAGCATCGAAGAAATGTTCCTCCTGCAGAGGGACACGCCCGACGGGAGTCCGCCACTGGACCGCTCTTCGGAGCGCGGGCTTCCGCCCGCGGCGGCGAGGGGGCCTCCCGGAGAGAGGGAGAGAGGGCCGCCGCAGGCTCGACCACGGCCCCTCCTCCGAGAAGGCACTGGGCGCTGGCGGTCTCGGGCCAGTGTGGGGGGGGCCCAGGGGCACGCGAATACATAGACACCAACATAAAACGACGCGAAGATCGGGACAAAATCGGATCGGGATAATAACTCGAAATCTCTGAGAATCGGCGGGTTTGGAGGATGTATTGGGCGCCGCGGCCGCTCCAGAGCGTTCCGGAACTCTCTGAGAGCGCTCCGGAACGCTCTGGAGCGATTTATCCCGATCCTAGCCCTGTTTTACAATAACAGGATTCCCCATATTTCCCCATGTGTTCTTGGCTTTCGACCACGGCCCTCCTCCGAAGGCACCGGGGGCGCCGGCAGTCTCGGGCCAACGTGAAGGGGCCCAGGGGCACGCAAGTACATAGAGACACCAATCACCGGAGGCCCCGTATGTCCCCGTCTGTTCCTGGCTTTTGTCTCCCCCCCACTTCCCGTACTTCCCATATGTTTCCTTTGGCATCGACGATTCTTTGTGCCTGTGTTTTCCCCTCCGGACTTCGGCTGGAGCACAGACGTAGAAGCAGTAGCATGCACACATACATAGGAACCACCATACATACTAAGAAAATACAGATGGTACCACAAACGGGCAATTTCTTTTTTCACTGTGTTTAACAATACGTATACAACAAAATCGGCGATACCCATCGGTCGGAAGAAGTGAGTAGAGCCATGAAGAACGATGACGTTGCAAGTAGATTGGGTGTCCGCCGGCCCCCTAAAGAGGACGGAAGAAAAGACGCCACTCGATCATTGATGTAGGGAGGCGCCTAAAATAGAACGGAATCTGGGGCTCCCAAAATACCTACTTTTAACGACCAATGGGTAATTCGGTACGACCGAAGGTGGTACGGAAAGACCAACAGCCTGTCCTCTCATGGGGGACAGGACTCGCTGTTGGCGTCGACGCAAGGCCGCCCGCCTAACAGAGGCCGCTGCCGGTTTTGCACGTCATTTTTGTTGGGCATCGTGCCCACTTCGGGCGCCCAAACTAATGCGGGGGAAACGGACGCGGAACGCCGTCGTCGCCCAGAGGCGGCCCGGTAGCGGGCGACAGGCGCGCTGGGCGTCGCAGAACCTCAGAGAACCAGACGCATGGAGCAGCATTGAACAGCATCGATGCAACAGTTCGACGTTCGTTCAGTGCTCCCTAGCGCGAGGGCCTCCGAGAGCGCTCCGAAAAGACCTCTGACCCATGTCGTAGTTGTCGTCGTCGTCGTCGTCGCCGTCGCCGTCGTAGTTGTCGTCGTCGTCGTCGCCGTCGCCGTCGCCGTCGCCGTCACGGTCGTCGTCGTCGTCGCCGTCGTCGTCGCCGTCGTCGCCGTCGTCGTCGTCGTCGTCGACGTCGTCGGCGTCGTCGTCGTCGTCGTCGTCGTCGTCGTCGTCGTCGTCGTCGTCGTCGTCGTCGTCGTCGTCGTCGTCGTCCCCCTTCCAGGTCGGAGGGGGGACATGCCCGACCTAAATCTGACCCCCTAAGGCCTTCGCAACCGAGAGAGTTACACGTCGGCGGGCTCCCAAGTTGCGGCGGGTCGCTGGTGCTCGCTCCCCCCGCGGAGCGGAGCAGGAGAGCAGGAGTGGAGCAGCGCGGGGGGCAGGCGGGCGGGTGGGCCCCGGGCGACGGAGGCGCGGCCGGCCGCACCAGAAATACCGCCAGAGAACAACCCCAAGCAGTGGACGGTTTGAAATTCGCGATATGGATACTGAGACCGACTGTGAGATCAATCGTGAGACCGATCTCGGGATCGATGGTAAGGACGATAGGAACGCCGCTCGAGAGACCGATCGTGAAGCCGATTCCGTGAAATCGATAGTTAGTGAGATCGATAGTGAGATCGCTCGTGCGATCTACGGTGGGATCGAATGTGAGATCAGTAGAGAGGTGGGTAAGGAGATCGATCGATTGACAAAATCGAACAAGAACCCCGGAACCCGGAAACTCGGGAACCCCGCCGTCCACCTAAATCGGCCGGACACCAACAAACGAAAACCCGGGGACCCGGAATCGGGAACCCGGGAACCCGGCCGCCTACCGAAATCGGCTCGGCACTGTCGCCAAATCTTTCCATCTCCGCTAGGACCCCTTCAATGCAAGCGCTGACTGGGGAAAAAAGTTCGTGCAGTGGCGTGGTGCTGCGGCATGAAAATGTAAGCCCATCAAAGATACGACGCCCCCGCATCCCCTCCACCTCCCTGCCGTCCCCATCCTTACAGTCAGAGGACTAATTTTCGTAATGGCATTTCCAAGGGCCTCACATATCGGGCAAAAATTGGGTCCAACGTCAAATTCTCAGCCCGGTTGCATCTGTAGCCGCTGTGGCTCCAGTGGCGCGTTTCCAGGGCGCGCCCTGGCGTCGGTTCCAGCAAAGCGACGCAAGCTAAGAGCGCGCCGTCGCGCCGGTTCCAGTAAAGCAGCGCAAGCGCGATGCAGTCAGGAATCTTCGGAGGCTGGCGGGCGAGGTCGGGATCGAGACTGGCAGTCGCAGGGTGGCTGTGCCCCAGAACGTGGATGAGAAGATCCTTGGGGCGGGGCGGGCACAGGCCGCTTTTCGGCCGCTTTTCAACACGCGCCGATGTTCACACATATCGCGTTTCCGAACTCTCTTGCCTCAGTCAGACTGGAGACGGTTTGCTCCTACACTTCTAAGCCAATTCTAACGCACCGTTGTCAACGACGACGACGGCGACGACCGTAGACAACGGACGACGACGAGAACCACGACGCCCGTCGGACCGACTCAAGACGACGACCGACGAACGACGTCCAGCGACAACGACGAGCGACAGCGACGGCCGACGAACAACGACGACGACGATGTCTGGGGGTTGACTCGGGGTCCGACTGGGGCACTGGGGAACGATCAATTGGGGATACATTCTGGTACATTCGGGGGTTCGTATACGCGGCTCATCCGGCCCCAGCGAGTGGCCGCAACCATCGGATTTTGCAGGATGTGGGGCCCGAGGTTGTACATTTGCCTGCTACCGCCCCTTCCCCCATTACCAAAGGCGGGACCCCCGTTTGCAGGGAGGGCGGGGTGGAGAGGGGAACGGGGGGGCGCGTCCTCGAAGCGTTCCCTTTTAGAATTTTACCCGACCCGCGCGTTCGAGAATTCGAGCTTGGCCAGTCGCAGTCGGCTTTATGGATCTGGCTTTCCGGAAACTTTCGACGGCGTCCGTCGTTGTCGTCAGCCGTCGTCGTCGGTCGGCCGGTCGGTCCGTTTGTCGTCTTCGACGTCGTGGTTCGTCGCTACTGGTCGGTCAGTCTGTCGTCGTGTGCCGTCGGTCGTCGCCGTCGGTCGACACCCTCGTCGGACAGTCGTCGTCGGTCGGTCGGTTGGTCGGTCGGTGGTCATTGCCGTCGTCGTTGTCACTCGGTCGCCGCCGTCGGTCGACGTAGCAAATCGCTTGGTCGGCCAGTCGGTCGGTCGCCGTCGTCGTCGATCGCTCGCTCGGTCGTCGTCGTTCGTGATCGTCGTCATCGTGCGTCGCTCGGTGGCTCGGCCGCGTGGTCGCTCGGTCATTCGTTCGGTCGGTCGGTCGTCGCCGCCGTCATTGTCATCCGTCGGTCGTCGCCGTCGGTCGTTGTCTGGTCGTTCGGACGGTCGGTCGACCAGCCGGTCGGCTGGTTAAGCGGATTTACCGACTGTCGCATGAAAAGGCAGCTTGAGCGCTGGACACGTTTCGAACACGGCCAATATTAATTTTCATCACTCGACGGAAACTGCCCGTCAACATTCTCACCCGTAAATTCGTCCATTGACTGTACTATCCTGGGCAAAATCACAATCCAACATGTGTTGCGCCGTGTACTTCTATATTTGGTGCGATGGGTTGGGCGCCATTGTTTTCGAAGAATTTGTCGGCGCCCTCTCTCATGTGTCGGTCATCATGGCATAGCCGACTCACACCCAGACACACCGCGTTCAGTTAAACTTCGACATTGAAGAGGGCAACATTCGAAAGGCGAAAAAGGGTGACATCGAAGGGGTGTGTCAACCAACTGCGAAGTCCATGTTGTATCGAACTGTAAGAAAATGCGTTCCTACCCATTCGCCCTCACAAAAAACACGCCGACTGTCGGCTTCAAAAAAAAACTTTGCAACTGTCTCCGCCCTGGTGGTGGGAAAGGGGGGCAAATGAACACGTGCACCCCCTAGGGGCTGCTGCACAATCGAACCTCAAGACTTGGATATGGCCCCACATCGGGGTTCGAAGTCCCTTCTCCCGCCCCCACTCTGTTCAATTCCCCGTCGGGGAGGAAGGGCGAAACTATGGCGCATTCCCGGGGGGGGCGTTTTTTGCCCCATCGCGCTCCCCATCCGCGTCGAACCCGCGCCGAATCCATGTCGGACGCGTCGAACCCGCGCCGGACGCACGTCGAATCCGCGTCGCATCAGCGGCCCGCGCCACAGCCGCGACGAGTCCGCTGGGAGCCCGCGCCGGGCTCACGAGCAGGCGCCACTCTCGGGGGCAAGGGGCCCCTCGAGAAGCGCGACGTCAAGGGGGGGGGTGGGGCGTGAGCGAGCGAGCGAGCGCGCCCCCCGCCAGCCCAGGTGGGCCGGGGGCTCGGGCGCACGCGGGCTGCTGGAAGAAGGAAGGGGACACCACGGACGAGGCCCCTCCTCCTCGCCCCTCCCCCTCCCAGGTCGAGCCGGGAAACATCCGAGGGAACGACCGCCAAATCTCAAGGAGCACCGGCGGGGCTCGCCACCAACAAACACCCGAACGCACGCAAAAGTCAGGAACCACCAAGCCCCTCCCGACATCGAACTGGACCGTACTTCAACGAGCAATACGCGTGGGTGATAGCGCGACGCTGACGCTGCCGAATGTTATCCTGCGTCGGAGCGGCGGGAGCCAGAGTCGGAGAGATGGGGGCGAGAGACGGATCAGAATCGGCAAGACGCGGCCGCATTAGGGCGCTCGGAAGAGAACCGGGGCGCCGATGCATAGTCTGAAAAGTTTCGCACGGACAACGCGCACGGCGCATCATCCCTGAACCCCCGCGGTATGGCCTCGAGCTGCATGAAGGTGAAGCAGCGGCCGCAAGGGCGCCCTCGCGCCGACATGGCACCAAACAGCGCCCGTGGCGAAAAGCCGTTGCTCTTGCAGCCCTCTGCCTGGCGTCGCGCGCGACTCTGGGCGCCCCGCGCGGCTCAAAACGCGCCTGGAAAACACCCAGCGGCCGATGGCTTGAGCCCAAATGGCAGCGGCAATGGATATGGCTTGCGGCTGCAACGGCAATACCGATGGGGAAGAGTACTGCAAACCCTGGTAGTCCTGACGCGCAAATGAAAGTAGGGATGAAGCTGAACGCTCGGAACGTCTTGGCTACAATTGAATCGATGTCGCAATATCGTGCGCATGGCATCTGAATACTACCAGAGCTCCAATTTCCAGGAAGATCTGATGCGTCGGTTGGCTTCACCTGGCCCGGAGAAATGTGCGACTGGGCCGCGAAGGCTCGAAGAACCATTCGCGCGGTGTGAAATATCGCGCGGCGGTCTCAAAATTTCGCGCGGCCCGAACGTCGTCGTTTTGGTCCAAGACATTCACTTTGCACAAAGCGCCAGGAATGCAATGTTACGCGGCGCCTGGTGATCTTTACGCGGCCATAGTTGCTTATGTGTTGGCTATGTGTTGGATACGCTATGGCTATAGTATGATTTTGCTGGCCATGTCTTGGGTGTTGTTTTGCGTTGAATTAAATGTCGCTGCTTTGCGCTGAATTACATGTATGGCTTGTATGGATCCACCTATGTGCACTACGCGTACAGATGAGATGGCTGTGATTATGTTGTACTGGTCTCGTATATCGTGCACGTTTGGTGCCGATGCACACGCACCACGCAATGAGCTTTTACTTCCATGGTGATGCGATGCATTCTCATCGTCCTCGTTCCTCCTGCTCAATCTCATCTTCGCATTCCCCCCCCTTCTCCCCTCGCTGCTGCTGCTGATCCTCCTCCTCATCTTTCGTTTGCGCCGGGCCCCGCTTGCTACTAATCCATGGTTCTGCGCACCGGTCGCACATTTCGCGCGAGGTCAGGGCGTCTCGCAGGCCTCGCGCGAAATTCTCGGGTCGGCGCGCGGAATACACTGACAGGCGCGCCAGCGCCTGTCTTCGCCTTGACGCGCTTCGATAGCTGGGGAGGACGTGGGCGCCAGAGTCGGAGAACGGTTGAGCAGGTAACGCCGGCGTCACAAGGTACATTGCTCATCATGTTCCCGCCTCGGTTGAACCAGTGCCAGTTTGAACCACCGTTAACCAGAGTCGCGGGGGCAGAAACCAGAGCCCGAGAGACGAGCGAGGACAGAAATCTGAAACAGGAGCACGGAGGTCGAAGCAGCAGGGACAGGAGCCGGCATCGGAAAGACGAAAACAGAAGTCGGGAAAGACGGGGCAAGAATCGGAGATATTGGCACGGACGTCAGAGTCGCAAGGGAAGGAGCCAGGGTTGGAGAGACGAGACCAAGCTCCAGGAATGTAGTTCTGCGGCGTGGCAATCGGGGGAAGCTTACTCTTCGGTTGGAGCGCAAATGTTCGATGGGAAAGCTGAGGGACAGTAACGACGAGGAGGAGCTCGCCGCACCCAGAGATGTGGCCCACGCTGGGGAGAGAGCGGCATTTCAAACAACAGGAACAGCATGCCGATCCGAAAATGCCGTAATCGATGCAGCGAGAGCACGATTTGAAGGACCGGCGACGTCGTCCCGAGCGTCAACCCACACACAAACACACATATATATATATATATATATATATATATATTATATACATATACATACTACATACCACACACATACATACATACATACATACATACATACATGCATGCATGCATGCATGCATACATACATACATACATACATACATACATACATACATATATACATACATACATACATACATACACATACACATACATACATACATACATACATACATACATGCATACATACATACATACATACATACATACATACATACATACACGCACACACGCGCGCAAGGTGAAGTCGTGTGCGGGAGAATGCGCAAGAGAAGCGAGATCACCACTGAACCCTGTCCGGGCCCAAGTGAGGGGGAAAGGAAGGCGGGACAGGCCAGGAGGAGGAGGAGGAGGAGGAGGAGGTAGGAGGTAGGAGGAGGAGGAGTCAGGAGGAGGAGCGAGGAGAAGCGTGGAGGAGGCAGGAGGAGGAGGAAGAGAGGTAGGAGGAGCGAGGAGAAGCGAGGATGAGCGAGGAGGAGGAGGAGAGGGAGGAGGAGGAGAAGGTAGGAGGAGGAGGACGAGGAGGAGGACGACGAGGAGAAGGAGGAGGAGGAGGTAGAAGCGAGGAGGAGGAGGAGCGAGGATAAGCGAGGAGGAGGAAGAAAAGCCAGGAGGAGGAGGAGGAGCAGCGAGAACGAACACGAGAGACGGGCGCGCCCCGCCTCAGCTCCATCGTGGACTGCCGCGACTTGTGCGCACGGAAGACCTTCTGGATGCTCACGGCGGCGGCCTGCTTCTCGGCCTCGGCGTTGCTCTCCGCCAGCAGGGCGTTGAATCTCTTCCTGTCGGAGGGCGCGGAATATTTTAGAGGGCAGAAAATCCACCCCCCACAGTAATCACCCCGACAAGCGAAGCCGTTTGGTTAACGTGCCCAGGAAAGGATATCGAACAGGGCGGGGCTGCTTAGTAAACGCCCAGGGCCGTTTAGTGAACGCCAATGGTCGGGTCTGGGTGGTCTGGCCTCCCTTGGCATGACTCACCGCTCTTGGCTGAGAGAATCCTAAGCCCATGATTCTAGCATGCGCCTTCCAGGCAAGGAAGGCTGGGGGGGCCGTGCACCGATCCTGGGGCCAAGATTGGATTCCAGGCTCGGTGTTGGTGTCTAGCTGCCGTCCCCACGATTCCTGTCGGTGGCCCCTGGAAGAGGCGCCGCTGCAAGAGGCAGATGCCGCTGGAAGGCCCTGGAGGACAAACAGAAATCCGGCACGACTGTCCTTCACATGCGGTGCTAAGAGGTACGGCACATGTATCGCGTACGCAAGACATGCTCTTGCGTCGAGCACACGATCTGGTTTGGGCGGGATGGAACATCGATGCACTTCTCCGCGAAGGAGTGGTCCTTAAGGAAAGGTCCTGGACCCCGAGGCTTTCCCAGGCAGGTGCTCATCCCGAGTAGTTTTGGCAGTCCTGGGCCAGGGGAGTACACGGGGAAACCAGCCGAGACAAACAAAACACTCAGAATGTATAGCCCGTTCGCTGGGACCCCGTTTCCTCACGGTGGCTACCTACGGCGAATGACCACATCGACTCCATACACAGCGCGTGCCTTGCGCGCAGATGTACTCGGGCAACACCTGCACATATGCAAGGGCGATGCGCCAGCCTCGTGCGAGTGTATGCGACCGCGGCTGTGCACGTGGCCCTGACTCTGAGCACGACCGCAGCAGTGCCCGTGACCTTGATCCAACGCCTGCGACCATGGCGTGAGATGTGAGGGGGAGCACGGCTCAAGTCGGTGGTTCAAAGAGGGGGTCCTGAGGGCTGGGGTCCTGAGGACGAGGTGCCTCAAAACAACGTAAGTCCACCCTTGGACCCCCTCCTGTCCTTGGGACCCCAACCCCTCAGGACCCCGTCTTGGAACCACCACCGATCACGACGGGGGGCACACTTTTTTGGGGATCCGCGGGTCGAGAGCGAGCCCCTTCCGGTCGAAGCCAAGCGTGCCGTGCACAGCTTGAATCAACAGGGGAAGGAAAACGGAAGGAGGGGGCCTCGACGTCAAAAGACGGGGGGCACACGGAGCCGGAACTCACAACACTGAAGGGGCCCCAGGACACACAAATGAATACACACAAATAAAAAGATTCCCCATATTTTCCAATATTTTCTGGGTTTTTGTCTTCCCCCCCACTTCCCATATGTTCCCCTATTTTCTGGGGAATCGCCGATTAATGGTGTCTGTGTTTTTGTTCCCTCCTGAAACACACCTCCGACAGACGACGGCAGGCCGGCGGCGTGCCGCCGGCGGCAAGGCCGCACGCGCTCCTGGGCGGGGCGGGCCCAAAGGGGCCCCCCTCCTCGGCGAGCCGTGGGAGGCCGGGGGGCCGAAGCTCGGCGGCGAGCGACGGGGGGGGGGGGGCAAGGAGAAGGCCTGCTCGGCAGGCTCCCGAGGCCCCCGGCCTCCCGAGAAGCCCTCTGGGCTTGACCCCCGCGAAGCCGCAGAAGACTCCTCGTCGGCGATCCGTGGGACCCTGGGGGTCGAACCTCGGCGGCGAGGGATGGGGGGGCAAGGAGAAGGCCTGCTCAGCAGGCTCGCGAGGCCCCCGGCCTCCCGAGAGGTCCTCTGGGCTTGACCCCCGAGGACGCAGAAGAGACTCCTCTCAGAGGGCGCGGGGGCGCCTCACAGGAGCGCCGCCGGCCTCCGAGAGGGCCTCCTCCCTCGCACCTCCCCCCTCGCTCGCCGCCGAGTGCCAGCCATCCCCCCCCTGGGAGACTTGGGGTGGACGCAGCCCCCCTTGAGCCGGTCCTCCCCGGACGCTGCCCCGGACGCCCAGCCGTATGTCTTGCCATCGCTCGGACGTCCATTCCTCGTGCATTTTTCGCTTTCGTGCGTGCTTTTGTTGGCCGAGTCATCCAGGATGCTCCTCCATGGTCCTCGCCGAGGAAAAAATGCACACGTCCGAGCGATGCCAGGATGTACGTCCCGTCCCTCTCCCTGACGGAAACTGGGAGATTGTGGCTCGACGCATCACCCCCTTGAGCCTGTCCCCCCCCCCCCAGGCGCTGCCCCCGACGCCCAAGCGTACCTCCCCTCCCTTGCAGCGGTTCTGCCAGCACCGGCCTCGGCAGCCGCCTCCCCCCCGAGTGCAGGGCAGACCGGGGATGGACAGACCTCCCTTTAGCAAACCGGGAAAACGACCTCCGGCCCACACCTGGCGGGCGCAAGCCTGGAAAGTAACGGCCGCGGCGCCCTCTCGAGAACCGAAAACGGACGAGTCGCTAATCGACGCGTCAGGGCAGGAGGTTTGTCCACCTCCGAGCAGAGAGGAGGAGGCCCAGGGAGGCACACAGAAACGGGCACGGATCCACGGATCCTGTGCTTCTGCATGCTCTTTTGGGCCTCCGTCCTCCCCCTCCACTCTCCCAAGGCTCCCAGCCTCACAGCGGAATCGAGGAGTCTCTGTGCCGGTGCCCAGCTTCCCCCTGCTCGACGGGCTGGGGCCCTGGACCTCGGCGGAGGGCGGTGCTTCCAGGGCCGCCCCCCGCAGGCCAGCAGACGTTCCCCTCGGCGGGCCGAGATTTTTGGGGGCACCCTCCCTCGACCGCCCGGGGGCTGTTGAACCTTCGGGGAGACTTCGTGCCTTGGGGGAGACTTAGTGACTTCGGGGAGACTTAGTGACTTCGGGGGCTGCTGAAACTTCGGGTTTGAGGGACTCGGGTTGGCCTCACGGGGCTACAGCTCCCGCTGCAGACATCCCACGAAAACTGGACCGTCAAAATCCAGGACGCGCTCGGCAAACAGCGTCGGCAAACCCGAGTTTCGGCGTAATGGACGAAGACTGGGGGGCATTAAACGAAGCCAGGACGAAGATAAAATCGGGCGAGGGTAAATCAGTAATATCTGAGATCCAGCAACTTTGGAGGATGTCTCGGGAGCCACTGCCGTTTTAGAGCGTTCCGGAACGCTCTGAGAGCGTTCTGGAACGCCCTGGGACGGGTCTATCCTCGTCCTAGCCCCGCCCGACAGGTGCCCCTGGCCCAAGGTGACCCCAGCTTCTCGCTGAATTTGGGAGCTCCTGGAGCCCTCTTGGCCTCGTGAGGGGTGCTCTGGAGGCCGTGGAGGCATCCCTGGAAATCATGGGGGCAACTTGGACCAGGGGAACTTCTAGAATTACCAAGGACAGAAGAACATCCCTCAAGAACATGGGACCCTCCGGTGGCCCAGGCTGAACAACACTCAAGGGTGCCCTCCCCCAGGATGCACAAGAACATCCAGCAAGCACGAAAAGCACTAGGGCTCCCGCCCCGAAGCGACCTCGATCTTGTGCTTCGGTCCGACTGTAGCATCACCCGTACCGTGTTGGTGCCAACTTCTGGATCTCCGCGGTCACACCCCTGGAGATCCGACGGCGCGATCTGCCAAAACAGCGTAGGCCTCCTGACCCATCCTCCCGGGCTGGTTTTTCATGCTGGGTTTGGGTCGGGCATGTCGTCTTACAGGCGGATGTTGGAGAAAACAAAAAACAAAGATATGCAAACATAGTAAAAAGATAATCGAAACGTCGTCCCCAGAGTATGGTTTGACTATCTTCGGAGATTCCTTCCGCAGAGGGGCATGCCCGACTTAACGCTGGTGTTTCATGCTCGGTCGTCTTGGCGGGGAGGAGGCGCAGGGGCGGAGCAGAGGAGGAGGAGGAGGAGGAGGAGGAGGAGGAGGAGGAGGAGGAGGAGGAGGGGAGGAGGCAGCAGGAGAGGGCGAGGGAGGAGGGGTCAAGGATGAGGACGGAGAGGCGGCGACGGAGGCGAGGGAGGAGGCGGCGCAGGCGAGGGAGGAGCAGGAGGACGAGGACAGGGAGGAGGCGACGGGTGCGGGGGAGCAGGGGAAAGACAAGGCGGAGGACGCGAAGGAGGGGGACAGAGGAGGTGTTGCCTCGGGGACCTCAAGGCAGAGCGCGACAGGCCACCTTGCGTCTGGGGTGGCGCTAATTCCTACTCGCGCGCCTTGACGAGCGCCGCCAAAGCCAGCATCCCTGGTGTAGAGACGAGGTGAATGCGCGAGGCCGCACTTCCGGCGTCTGAGGAGGTAGGAAGCAGGAGGGACGCCGACCACAGGACGGATCAAAATGCAGCGTTATACTTTGGGCCATCGTGATGACGAACTCGCGCACAGTAGCGGACCCGAGGGGTTCACGAGGGGAAGTATCGACCTGTATTCGGCGACGTATCGCCGATAAATTGACGATGGGCCCCCGGTAGCGAATCCGCCGCACGCTCCTGGGCGGGTTAGGCTATCAGACCCCTATCGGCGGTGAATGTGCGATTGGGGGCGATGAGAGGCACAAGCAACTGCATAAACACAACCTTTCGGAGCTCCGCGCGGATTTCTTGGATGGCGGCGCTGGGGGGCCCAGCGTCCATCAAAGAAATCCGCGGGGAGCTCCGAAAGGTTACAGTAGGAGCTCGACCACAAGAGACCTTCCACAAGAAACCCAACCCTGAGACCCCAGGACTTCCAGTAGTGCTTGGTGTGGGAGCGTCACGCTTTCCAGTACAAGACCATCGAAGCCCAAGAAGCCCGGGGCACGCTGGAGGCAAGCAGGGCGTTTCTTGGCATGGGCTCCCACTGCATGCGTATGCAGTTGTTGTTTGTTCTTCGATCGCTGTGCCCCGCCCCTGAGCCTAGCCCCCTCCCCCCCCCCCTGGCGTTGCCCCTGAGGGAGGCGGGGAACCGAAGTCTGCACACCGACGCTTTTGTCCGGCCCCGCACTGAAACTCGCACAGGACAGCGGATCATGGTGTGCACGGGATCCCGGTGTATACATGTTCCTTCACTTTCCAGGGAAAACGGGGGAACAAAGATACGCCACACCACCCCAGCGTCGTCCCCGACCCTCCAAAGTCCTGGGATTGCAAAACAGCCCACCACCTGGCAGTGCATCCGTTGCCGATCCCCCCCGCCCTCCTCCCCCCGGACGCCTCCGCGGTGCTCCCCCCCAAGGAGGTCTCCAAGGAGGCCTCCAGGGCGGCGCCCGCAGGCCAGAGAAAAGGACCCCACACGGGCAGAAACCTGCTCGAGCGTGCAGGAGGACGAGCAGGAGGAGGAGGACGATGAGGAGGAGGAGGACGGGGAGGACGAGGAGGAGGGGGACGATGAGGAAGAGGAGGAGAATGAGGAGGAGGAGGACAGGGACGAGGAGGAGGAGGAGGAGGAGGACGAGGACGATGATGATGAGGAGGAGGACACTGACCTGCTTTCCAGGAAAGTAAACACTTTGCACCATGACCTTGACCACTGAATTACAGTCGAGCTTTTGGGCAAATTAGATACGTAGGTCTGTAGATCTGGAGGGCTGTGTTTGAACACTCTGGAAGGTCGTGGGAGGTCGAGGCTTGAGGCAAACAACATACGCAGGTCTATAGATCTGGAGTGTTCTGTTTGAGCACTCCGGAAAATCATGGGAGGTGGAGGAGGAGGAGGAACAGGGGGAGGCAGGGGGAGCGGGAGAAGGGGTGGCGGAGGGGCGAACTCGCACGGGGGCGGTGCGGCGGTCTTGGCTTGGATCAGGTGGTAGAAGCCGTGGAGCACCTCGACGGCGTGCTTAGTCTTCATACGGAGCATCTCGGGCGGGCGGCGGCGCTTGAGGGCCGTCGGGTGCTGTCGGACGCAAGGGCACCGCCGGCCTCGGTTAATCACTCGAACCATGGCCACGAGAACGCGGGTCAGGGACGTGTGATGGGCCCATGTTCCACCACCACTACAATAGGTAGGAGAGGGAGGAGGAGGAGGAGGAGGAGGAGGAGGAGGAGGAGGAGGAGGAGGAGGAAAAGGAGGATCTCCCCCGTCCTACAGATGGTAGTGGTGGTGAACATTTGCCCATCAACATGAGCCCCATCGCCGAAGGCCCACGGGGCCCTATGGAGGCACCGCCGAGCGGAGAACACTCTGAGGCGACGACCCAAGCCAGAGGAGGTGAGGGTACATTGGCAGAAACAACTCCTGCGAGGGCTTCGTGAGAACGACCATTAAAGGGACTGTCAGCTCGATTCCAGGGACCATTAAAGGGATTGTCTGTATTATCTGGCGCGAAACGGTCGCTACCCCCCCCCCCCCCGATGTGCTGGCGCTCGCGCGCGTACTACAGCGATCGCAACGCACCCCTGCCCCGACGTGCACCCCGCCCAAGCGTTACCGTTCCCCGGGGCCTGCCCCCAACACACCCCCTGGGGAACGGACGCCACGGGAAGCTATATAACAAATCACACGAAGCCGGATTGGCCCAGTCGAAGCCCAGGATTGAGCCCGACTGCGCCTGAATAAACAGGATTAATTGCGCCCGAGCGGAATCGGAGCGGATCGGGCCCGTTTCCTAGGCTACACGCAAGAGTGACCCTGGGTAAGTGTGACCGTTGGTGCGCGGCTTTTGGGGGGCCGCTGGGGGACCAGCAAGACGCTACTGCCGCATCGCGTTCGGCGATCCGGGGACAATGGGCCCGCACCAAAGCTCACTCCGGCGAAGGTCACTCTTACGTGTAGTCGATGTTCGACCGCGGATCTACCAGCGCCGATGCTGAATGTACGCTCCGAGGAGTTGCATCCTGAGGTTCCCCTATATCGCTTCAGAGGAGAAACAGAGACCGCGACCACCATCGGGAATTGAGCATGGACCGACTGTCCCGGCATCTCTTTAGGCGTACCACGACATGGTCTCGGATCCAGAAGAATGTTATCATTACGAAAACAAGGTTCGCAGACCATACAGCCGATGTGTAAAAAAAAGACAGCCTCAGACAGAAATGCTCCAAGAACATGTCGTGCAAACCACAAAAAGGGGGGGTCAGAACATTCTCTCGTGGGCCTGTAGCCAATCCGGGACGCCTCGCCACTCTCGGCGGCGAGCCTGGGGGGGAGAGAAGGAGAAGACTCCCCAGGAGGCTCTCGGAGGCCTCCGGCCTTGGGAGAAGTGCTACCTGAGCCTTCCCGAAGACACGGGGGAAGCTTCCCAGGAGGCGCGAGGGGGCTCCTGAGAAGTCCCTCCGCCTCCTGAGGAGGCCTTCCTCGTCTCATTCCCCCCCCCCTCCTCGCTCGCCGCCGACGCTCCTTGAGGGAGGAGGAGGAGGAGGAGGAGGAGGAGGAGGAGGAGGAGGAGGAGGAGGAGCGGGAGGGGAGGAGGAGGAGGAGGAGGAGGAGGAGGAGGAGGAGGAGGAGGAGAAGGGAGGAGGGGGGGAGGAAGGGGGAGGAGGAGGAGGAGGAGGAGGAGGAGGAGGAGGAGGAGGAGGAGGAGGGGGAGGAGGAGGAGGAGGAGGAGGAGGGAGGAGGAGGAGGAGGAGGAGGGAGGAACTTGACGAGCAGCAGCCCGTTTCTAATGCCAAGAGCTTCAACTTCCTGAAGACCAAAACAGAACAGGACAGAGTTCACCAACCTCACGTCCAAGATCGATGACATCGATGTGAAGGCTGGGCGAACGATCACCGTGGCCGCCAAGGCCAAGGCTACCGCTGAGAAGGGGCTGGTAGTAGCCACCCCTAAGGCGTTGACTAGCAGTGCCTAAGTTGAGTCGGGTGATGGCTCTTCTGAGGCTCCTACTTCAGCTGAGCATCGTACCAGATCATCGATGGATGATCGTACACTTATTATACATGCTTGGAAACTTCAATGAAACGGGCGAAAAGAAAGCGTACTTCGAACACGTGTTCGCATCTGTCATGGGCAAGTTGCAGACGCGTTTGTATGCATGCTCCAGCAAAGATGTCACCGCTGTCTTCAAAGATCTGGATGACAGCGGGCCATTCCTTCGAGTGGGACAACGTGATTGAGGTCTCGCCGGATGGGCATTCACCGAGGCGCCTCTGGATAAGAAGCACCGCAACAAAGAGGACCGCGACTCTTTCGCAGCCGCATGCTGACTGAAAATCTTCGACCCAAGAATGTACGGTGCGTAATTTTCGGCCCTCAGATCCCGAGAACTGTTGCACCGTACCGCGTTGGAACGAGAGCTGGCAGAAATCCAAGCACGGTGCGCGCTCGTACATGTCCCGGAATCAGGACGGCCAGCTCGAGCGCTTCGTTCTGCGGGAGAGGAAGGTGGTGGCGCGCCTCGCCGAGGACAACAAGGTCACCTTCGAGACGATATCGAATGCAATGGCAGATATCACAGATGAGGAGTTGCAGCGGAGGTTCGAGGAGCGTGAGAAGACGGCAAGGGGTCGCTTTCGTCGCTGATCCGAGGCGGGCAAATCTTTCCACACGGGGTGGGATACATTTTCCGCTTGTGAATATCATTAGTACCAACTGCAGGGAGGTGGCGCAGATTGGCTTTCCTCATTTTGTGGCCTATGTGGGTTATGGTTGGGACGCATTTGTCCTACACGAGCTTAATACCTCAACCTTAGATTACACATACATCGCCATGGTGAAGGACTCTGGGCACCTAGTTGCTACTGAGGCTTGTGGACTATCTGGGGCTCCAGTACTGTGGCGCATCGCCGGCACGCCCTGGCAGTCGAAGAGCCTACACGTCACTTCCATCCTCGGCACAGATGGGCCGACGCTACACTTCACAACCAACCATTACTCTTGCCTTCTGCGTATTTGCCTGTGCGTGGGACTTGGACGCGGATCTGAGCGAGCAACGACATATGTACATGTACGGTCTACGCCCTCCGCGGTCTTGCGTGCACGAGCGTCCGCATGCAAACGCACCACAACGGAAGCTCACCGCGTACGTGTACATCTGCTGTTGGCCTCTGATTATCAAAATACGAAGAACACGAATCTTGATACTACTATGGGCGAGCTCCGTGAGCGCAAGATTCTGACCTTGGGGATTGACGCCAACGCAGAAGTCGGCGACATCAAAAAGAATGCCGAAACCTTCGCTCTGGGGCTGGAGGCCGTGGGATATAACTTATGATCGGTGGGCCTGTTGTGGAGCAGCCCTTCTGTCGGAATCTGCTCTTGACTAACACTTCCGTGGCAACTCATGGAAGCATACCATAGCATTTTGCCGGCTCTTGCGAATCGACGCTAATCGACGCTTTTCGACGCGAATCGACGCTAAATCGATGCGAATCGACGCTAAATCGGTGTTGTCATCGACTCCCAGGCGATATACCAGGCTCCCATGATTTGCTACACCTTCTTCCAAAGGGGGGTGTCGTATACATGTTTTGCTTGGGACCCTTCTACTTTCTCCAACATCGATTTCTCCGTTACGACGTCAGACAAGTCTGGGCGGATAAATCGTTCGCGCACTTTGCCAATGCATCCGGCCGTAATCCTGACTAATCAGAATTGCGTCCAAACGCGTTGTTTCGCCTAAAGTTCAGACGGAGGCATTCTCGCAAGCATGTCAATTGGAAGGTGAACAGGCCGGAGCAGTTCTTCGAAGAGGTGGCCCAGCGCACCGACACCAACCAACCTATTGCGGAGATCTCGGACATCATCGGCGAGGAGGCCAGTAGATGTGGGCGTCCGCCTTACAAGCGGGTCCAAACGAAATTTGACCGTCATCTTGAGGCTGCTTGGAGATCCGCGTCTTCATTCGAAGCTAAAAAACCGTCTGCCTGGAGATCTGCATCTCCATTCGAAGCGCTCAGTACACTTTGAACAACTTGAACAGAAGGGTGGATGGAAAAAACATACAGGCGGCCCCACGAGTTCACATAGTTGATTATGCTTATGACGACCAACTTACCATCCACAGTGATATCGAAGAGTCCACTTGTTATGCACTCGGATGACCTCGTGCCTACATGGATCCAGAACGCATTCTGCAATACCTCTCAAACGTCCACCGCTGACCTGTTTGCGCCGTGCACGCTATCCAACATGGGCGCCAGCTGCGCTGACGATGACGTCGTAGGTCGATAGGGGCTTCCAGGGACAAAGACTCATCTGGATTGGGATGTGTCGAATTCGACCCTACCTGCAAGCGAATATGCGAACTTCCATGCCGTCTCTGTGGAGGGTGCGACACTTGTGACGCTGAATGGCATGCTATGATAATTGGACTCAGAATCTGCGCCCAAATGGGTATTCGCCGCTTGGCGATTGAAGGGGACAACAAATTAATGATGAGACAGATAAGCTCTTGATTGAGAGACCATCACAAGCCCGATCACAATGCCCCAAGGGAGTAGATGGGGCCCAACGTTTTGGATCATGATTCTGGAAGATATTCTGCAAGCGGTTTGGTATGAGTGTCAAGCGGAACGCTTGGGTCTTGGCCCAATCTCTGCGGGGACCTGCGATGCTCATAGGTGTCCCTGGTGCCACGAGTGCGTCTCCCTATACATCCCGTTCGTGGTGTACAGCGATAACATAATCACCATGGCTCACAACATCCAGGCAGCCAAGAGCATTCACAATCAATTGTTCGCCGCCTTGCAACAGGGCGGATGGTTTTACCGTCCACAGATATACAATATTTCACGCAATCCGCAGTTGAGACGCCGTGGCATGGGTCTACGAGTTGTGAAGACCGCTGTACGAAAACTCTGGGTATGTATTTCAACCCGAATGGCCGCAACGAACAGGACATCCTGGAAAATCGTTCGCTGTAAAATCATGTTGCTGATGCCGACCACGGGCTGAGTTGCACGGGCAGCTCCCAGAAGCAACGTGTTCAACTCATCCGAAAAATCTGTCAAGGTGTCGCTCTATGGTTCGCGGGAGTATGTATTTGCAGTCCTCGCAGTCTGTCCAAGTTGCGTTCGGCCCAAAACGACCTTTTTCGAAAGCATCTTAGGTTGCACCGTATAGTTTCTGAGACTGATGAACAGTATGCCAGGAACCAAACATGCGTTGAACATCCCAGATCTAGACGTGGTCGCCGCCAGACGCACGTATAGGTACAAGGGCCACGCGGCCCGACAGATGGAGTAAGACCCATGTCGCTTAACATCGCAACTGCTGCAAAAGAACTGTCAGCGCGTTGCTCGTCCAAATGAGCGCAAAAATTCAAATCGGCAGGGATTTCCAAGATTCAGCCCGTGGAACTGGAAGGTCAAAGCACTAAATTGTTTGATGCGGTGAGCCGTGATTGGTTGAAAGTGGCTAGAAGCAGACGCGACTGAAGGCGAACGAGAACGCGTGGATTCGACATGTCTTGGGCAAAGCGGCGGAAATCGCACTGCAGAGCAACAGCAACAACACCACCACCATCATCATCACCATCATCATCATCATCATCATCATCATCATCATCATCATCATCATAGTCGTCCTTCGTCCTCGTCCTCGTCGTCATCGTCGGCATCTTCATTGTCATCATCAGCAACATCATCATTATCAACAGCATAATCGTCGTCATCATCACCAGCATCAGCATCATCCGCATCATCATCATCATCATCATCATCATCATCATCATCATCATCATCATCATCATCATCATCACCATCATCGGCATCATCATCACCATCATCAGCATCATCACCATCACCATCACCATCACCATCATGGTCCCATGTCCCCGTCGCCCATCATCGTCAACGTGAACACCACCCACCATCCATCACCGTCACTATCATCGCCAACCCGCCGATCCTCCAGACGGCGGCCGGGGCGGCGGGGCGGGGTCCTGGTATCTCTTCCTCTGGCCGGTGCCGCGGAACCTGGCCTGGATCTCCGTGGCGGCCTCCCGCGGACCCCCCAGAGGCCAAACGCGCGCGGCGCCGAAACACCACGCTCTCACTCGCTCCAGCCGCACCCCTCTCTCTCTATCTCTCCATCTCTATCTCTCTCTCGGTCTGTCTTTCTCTTGTCTTTCTTGTGTGTTTTTGTTGTTCTTGTTTGTTTATCCTCTCTCCCTCTCTCTGTCTCTACCTCTCCCTCCCCTCCTCGTACAGTGGAGGCCAGTCCGCACGAAATTTTCCACAAGAAACCCAACCCTGAGACTCCAGGACGTCCGTCGATTTTTGGTGTGGGAACGTCACGCCTTCCACAGCAAAACCATCGAACCCCAAGAAGCCCAGGGCACCCTGGAAGCAAGCATAGTATTTCTTGGCATGGGCCTCCACTGTACCCAAAAACATCCTCTCACCGTGAAGAAAAAACGACGGCCAAGGGACCAACACCTTATCCTGGCGAAGGACCACACCATATGCACGCTGTGGATGCCGTGTTGTGTCACCGCTTTCGGTGAAGCCCCCTACAGTTGGGCTGCTGAAATAAGGAGCGCCATATAAGGAACAACACCCGTTTAGCACCAAGAGCGCCTGCGTGCACGAAGAAAGCTAGAGGAACGACCACGAAGGACTAAGGAACCGGAAACATCAGCTGTCCACATTTCAGCGTGAGGGGTGCATGGGGCCACGAACCGTGTGAGGGGTGCGCCGAAATGGGGCGGCGCCGTCATGCGAAGCCTGCCACTCGGGCCTTCGGTGGAGCTCCCTGTGGGACGTGGGACCACGAACCGTGTGATGGGTACGCCGAAACAGAGACATGCGGCGTGGGTGGTGGCCCGAATGTGTGATGGGGTGTGCGGAGACAGAGGCAGAGGTGGCTCTAAAAAACGAACCCGAGATAGCCCTGGCCCGAGTTACCCCTGATGATTCGGGGCTCTGACGTTTAGGGTCAGCCCTGGTAAGTACCCAGGGCTGCTTGGGGACCCCTGGACACCTCAGAGGCGAGGACCCCGCGCATCGAGGCGCCCAGGGCCGCTCCCGGACCGCCGGGCGCCTGGCCCGGGCAGGCCCCCCGAAGAGCAGAGGTGGGCCCCCGAGCCCCGCTCCGCTCCCGCTCGGGCCTGCCGCGCCTCTCCTCCGCTCCCTCGCCGCGGCGCGACGCTCCGCCCCGGCCTCTGAACAGTTTCTCAGGGCGGAGGGCTCAGGGTGAAATCCATGCGTGCTTTTGCACCTCGAAAACCCATCCGTCTTGCGATTCACTTCTTGCAGGCCTCGAACATCCATCGAACACAGCATTTCAGATTTCACCCTGTGCCCTCCACCCAAAGAACATGCTCGAGGCCTGCGCATCGCGCGCGCCGCCTCTCAGAAGGCACGCGCCTGCACCACTTCTGCCATGCCTTCCCCGAGGATTGGCGCGCCGCTCCCTCGAACCAGGTCTGCGGCGGAGGTGGGAAAACGGGCAGCGAGGAAAGCGGGGGAAGTGAGAAGTCGAAGGCCTTCTCAGAAGGCGGCGGGACTTCTCAGAAGCCCTCGCGTCTTCTGAGAAGTTGTCTGTGGCTTCGGGGAAGACTTAGAAAAGGCTTCTCAGCAAGCCGGGGGACTTCCGAACCTTCTGACAAGGCCTTCTCCTTCTCACTTCCCACAGCCGCTCGCCGCCGAGAGAAACAACAGAAACAAACAAGTGTCGGAGCTCCGCGCGGACTCGATCCCCTTGGCTTAGGTCGGGCATGTCCTCCTACAGGCAGACTTTGGACGAAGAATAAAACAGATTCAAACAATGTTAAATAAGAGTCGAAACATCGTCCCCAGACTATTTTTTCCCTTATTTTTGAATTGTTCTCCTGTAGAGGGACACTCCCGACTGAACCCTTGGCCGAAGGCCTCGTATGCCGAGGAGGTAGCCGAAGTGACGAGCGCTGCGATGTGGAGGGCCAAACACGAAGAACACGTGACACATGGGTACCCCAAGAGAGCCCAGAATCGAATCGATGAGTAGGATCGGCGATCGAAAGGAATCGGATCGGCGGAAATCGGCAGCCGAGTCGGGAAACGTCGAATCGGCGGGAATCGGCAGGCAAGTGCGCATCCAATAAGGAATCGGAACCCAAATTGGAATCCCAAGTCGAATCACATCGGAATCGGAAGCCATCGAAATCGCCGAGTCGGAGGAGTCGAAATGAACCCTGGGTACCCCTCTCCAAAGCTATGGTTGTGTTGCTCCCATCGTACTTCAGGAGCAGATCCCAGAAATAGCTTCGAGCATCCGGAGAAGTATCGAAGCAGTGTCAAACGAGTGTCGCCTTCTCCAGGGCCCCACACGTGAAAACACCAAAGTGTCAGTCCTTCCCTGGTGCTCGAAATTCTTTATGGCGATTCAGGTTGAAGCAGGTTGGAACCTCATAAAGGTAGTTGTTCGACCTCGTGCCAACTGTAATCTCGTTGTGCCTGCGCGCGCCATCTGCCGTTCGCTCAGGTGCTCCAATTATGAGGAAACCGAGAAATTCCGATACCGCTGCTCCCCGGACCTCTCCCAGGGCGCGTTCTGGCAAGGATTTCGAGGCGAGTCCAGCGGTGGCGACGAGGGCCTCCCAGGAGGCCAAAAAAGGGGAAGACCGGGGAAGGGTAGCGGCATGGGTACCTTTTCCTCCTCCGACCTTGGCCAGCGCAAGCGCACGCCAAAGACACACACGGGCCCCAGCCGTGAGGATGGCGCGCCTGGAGACGCCTCAAACCGCACCACAGGCCAGGTCGCCGAGGCCTCCCTTCGGAGAGGTGCCTGGAGGGTCTGCGCACCCGCCTGCACAGCCCCACGCAGCTCGGGGCCCACGAGTGAGCGTTTTTTCTGTTGATTCGGCGTTTCGACACTGGGCGGAAGCGGCGGGGGGGTCTGGCTCCAGACCTCTGCATAGTGCGACTGTTTGCAAGAGTGCTGCCTCTGGGGGAGACTCCACCCGCTCGAAACAGGCGCCAAAACACAGCCAAACTCTACTCCATGCGGGGGGGAGGGGAGGGTTGGGGGCCCACGCCGATCGGCAAAACAATGAATGAAAAGCGATCACCGACCGCAAGAACAGATTGGATGCTCAATCTGGGGACCTTCCTGGAGGCACTCGCTCCGCTCGTGTGTCGAAGCTGCGTCGAACTGCCGCCGGTTTGAGCCGACCTTGAGCCGAACCTGAGTCGAACTGGAGTCGATCTTGAATCGGACTTGAGTCGAACTGGGGTCGAACTAGAGTCGAACGGATCCGTTGCGTGGGCCCCAGGAGGGCCCCCAAAGCGAGCATCTGAAGCAGAGGAGCGACACCGGCATAAGCCTGAATCATGAGAGCTCCGCGGGGATTTCGCAGATCGGCGCTGGACCTCCCCCCGCTTCCTTCCTGGCGCGCAGAGCGCGCCAGGGGCGGCCCCCGAGGCGCCGCCAGGGGGCTCCGTCGCCGATCAGAATCATCTGCGCGGTCCTCAAAATGTGTGTGCTCACGCCGAACTCTCCGCTTCGTCGAAGAAATAAGGCTGCGCCGCTAGAGGGGAGGCTGAGGGGGCACCGTCGAGCAATCAGAGCGGGCACGCTGGCATCCGTCGATGCTCCCTCCCGCCCACCCGGTGGAGCTTCTTCAGCCGTCTGCGCTCAATGTTGCCCAGGAAGTGGCGCTAACAGGACGTCAACCGTAATTATGCGCAAGGCGTGCACACAGAAACAACATGATCAATATGGTGCATGCCTCGCTTGTCTGATCGCCATCACTGTGCTGCGAATCACTGAACAATGGCACATGAGAAGCACTGCGCAAGTGAATGAAGAAAGTGAACCCAGACCATGAATCTCAACGTCACGTTTGAGTCGTTAGGGCAACGGCACGCAAGGCAGAGCGAACACCACAAACACGGCCCGAAGACACCCGAGAGCAAATCTAAGCGGCCCAAACAATACCCCCAAAGCCTAAGAGGCTCCCAGAGGCTCCCGAGAGACCCGAAAGAGGCCCCCGCAGCAGAGGAGAAGGAGGAGGAAGAGGAAGAGTAGGAGGAGGAGGAGGAGGATGCGGAGGAGGAGGAGGAGGAGGAGGAGGAGGAGGAAGACTAGGGGGAGGAGGGCGATGAGGAGGAGGAGGAGGAGGAGGAGGAGGATCAGCAGTGCAAGAACAGGGCGAAAGAACAAAAGCATGGCCTGGATCGTGATCGCCGCCTTCCGTCGCTTGGCCTGCCATCCAACATCGGGAGGGCGCCGCTGCTGCTCGAGGGCGGGGGAGGGCAGGAGGAGCAGAGGATGGTCGCGACCGAGAGCGGCCAGCCCGTGATCGTTCGTGCGCGCCGCGCGACACCCACATTCGCACCGCGCTGGCCAGTGCAGCCAAAAGTAGAGGCACGACAATCTGCATAAATAAACATACACTGTCGCAGGTCCGCGCGGATGTCTTGGATCGGCGCTGGCGCCCCTCGCTGGCGCGCGGAGCGCGCCGGGGGCGGGGGCCAAAGGCGCCGCCAGGGGGGCCCAGCGCCGATTCAAGAAACCCAAGCAGAGAAGGTGTATGTTTACGCAATGTTCCCCCCCCCTCTACTTGCGTCACTGTTTACTATCATCATCAGGTTGTTTCATCATACGGCTCTCAGGGGAAATACTAATCATAGTACTGATTCATGATGTTCAAATGCCAATATCAATGATTCGATTCATGAAAATAAGAATGAGAAGAACGATAGTACGAATGCAAATGCAAATGCTAATCTTATCTAATGACAACACTAATGATACCAAGACAGAAACATAAGAATGATAAGAGTGTTATTCGTACTAAGATTTACACTCTTAATGTTTGGTCGCTATTCGTATTCCAAAAAACGGAAGGTTTCTGAATAGTTGGCCGCCTCCCTTCGGCACCCGGCCGCGCCGCTGCCCCCCCCGCCCCCCACGTGGCCGCCCCGGCGCACGCTCGAGGCACGCCCGCCACGCGATGCGCAGGCGCATGGCACGCACGGGCGGAGCTTCCCAGACGCCCTCGAGGCGCGAAACAGTTACGACCTGCTGCCAACGGGTAATCCGCACCACACGTGGCTGGCCCGGCGCACGCTCGAGGCACGCCCGCCACGCGGTGCGCAGGTGCATGGCACGAACGGGTGGAGCTTCCCCGACGCCCTCGAGGCGCGAAACAGTCACGACCTGCTGCCAACGGGTAATCCGCACCACACGTGGCTGGCCCGGCGCACGCTCGAGGCACGCCCGCTACGCGATGCGCAGGTGCGTGGCACGAACGGGTGGAGCTTCCCCGACGCCCTCGAGGCGCGAAACCAGTCACGACGGGAGGCGTTCGGCAATCTGCTGCCAACGGGTCATCCGCACCACACGTGGCTGGCCCGGCGCACGCTCGAGGCACGCCCGCCACGCGATGCGCAGGTGCGTGGCACGAACGGGTGGAGCTTCCCCGACGCCCTCGAGGCGCGAAACAGTCACGACGGGAGGCGTTCGGCAATCTGCTGCCAACGGGTAATCCTCACCACACGTGGCTGGCCTGGCGCACGCTCGAGGCACGCCCGCCCCGCGATGCGCAGGTGCATGGCACGAACGGGTGGAGCTTCCCCGACGCCCTCGAGGCGCGAAACCAGTCACGACGGGAGGCGTTCGGCAATCTGCTGCCTCCGGGTAATCCTCACTGGGCCCTGGGCGGCGACTCCGAAGGGTGTGGCTTGCCAAGGGTGTGGTTTGGCCACTGGGACCCCCTGCGGGGCGGGCGAGGACCTCGACAGAGCTCTCCGCCGCGCCTCGAGGAGGCCCGACGAGGACCTTGCCATCGCTCGGACGTCCATTTCCCGTGCATGTTTCGGTTTCGTGTTTTTTTTGTTTGCTCGATGGTCCAGGATGGACCTCGATGGTTCTCGCCGAGCAAAAATGCACACGTCCGAGCGATGCCAAGGGACAGTGTCATGCTCCCCAGGCCCCAACACTGCCGATCGCAAGCCACACCCCGGCGTAACCATGCCCTTTGTTGTCACCGACCTGGGACCGTCAAACACGGCTCATGACAGGGAGCTGGTCCTCGGGAAGGGGGCCCAGACCTCTGAGGAGCCAAGCTGGGAGACAGTCGCGACGGTGGACGTCTGGGACCGACAAGCCCCAAGGCGAGGGAGGCAGAGGAGAGACGCAGGGGTCTCATTCCTCTTCCTCCTCCTCCTCCTCCTTCTCCTCCTCCTCCTCTTGCTCTTCCTTCTCCTCCTCCTCTTTCCCTCTCGCGCGCTGCGGCGAGTCCCTCGTCCGGACCGAAGAGGCTCGATGAAAGATTGTGTGAACCCCGATGCCGCTGGCGTGCTGTCTCGTCCAAGGCCACGCTGGCGTCGTGAGATGATGCCAGGACCCGCATCCCTCATCTGCTTCGCGCCATTTTCGGGTGGAACACGGGGACACGGTTGATGCCCCCAGCAGCATTATTCACCTAAACATAAAAACTGTTGTCGAAGGTCCAAGCCGATTTTATCGGATGGGCGCTGGGCCTCCTTCCCTGGCGCGCGGAGCGCGACAAGGGGCGGGGCCGTGGGCGCAGAAGAGCCCGGCGCCGATCCGAGAAATATCCGCACCGACCTCCGAAAATTTATGCCAACGCCGCGTTCTCTCTATTCGACCCATGACGCGAGGTTCAAGTCCAAATCCCCAATCGCGGAGGAGAAGAGGAGAAGGAAGAGGAGGAGGAAGGAGGAGGGAGGAGCTGGAGGAGGAGGAGGAGGAGGAGGAGGAGGAGGAGGAGGAGGAGGAGGAGGAGGAGGAGGAGGAGGAGAGGAGGGAGGAGAGGAGGAGGAGGAGGAGGGAGGAGGAGGAGGAGGAGGAGGAGGAGGAGAGGAGGAGGAGGAGGAGGAGGTGAGGAGGAGGTGGAGGAGGAGGGAGGTGGAGGAGGTGAAGGAGGAGGAGGAGGAGGAGGAGGAGGAGGAGGAGGGAGGAGGGGAGGAGGAGGGAGGAGGTTGAGGAGGAGGTGGAGGAGGAGAAAAAGGAGGAGGAGGAGGAGGACGTCAGGGCAGGTCCGATAATTGGCAGGTCCGCAAGAGGTCCTGGGCGGGGTGGGCTTGCCCACACACAGGGGCCCCCCATCGGCGGTCCCTGGGCGAGCGGGGGTCGCTGCACACCGGAGGAGGAGGAGGAGGAGGAGGAGGAGGAGGAGGAGGAGGAGGAGGAGGAAAGAGGAGGAGGATAAGGAAGAGTAAGAGGAGGAGGAGGAGGAGGAGGAGAAGAAGGATGAGGTTGAGGAGGAGGTGGGCGAGCGGGGGTCGCTGCATCCCGGAGGAGGAGCACAGCGTTCCCCTGCGGCATCCCGGAGGAGGAGGAGGAGGAGGAGGAGGAGGAGGAGGAGGAGGAGGAGGAGGAGGAGAGAGGAGGAAGAAGGGGGAAGGCGGGAGGGAGGGGAGGAGGGGAGAACCCCCTCTGAGATCCTGCTGCGCCCCCCGAGCCCCCCCTGGGATGACCCCCCCCCCCTCACGCTGCAGCCTGGCTGCCGGATCACAGCTCGGCCCTCCCGCCGCCGCTCGAGAAGACTTGGGCACCGCCCGAACGCTCTCGGCGAGGCGCAGCTGCCGGGAAGCGTCCCGAAGCTGGCAGGCCGCCGAGAAGCCACGAGAGCGGGCGAAAGACCTCGGAGCTCGGCGCTGGTGCGGGCGCACGCCGACACGGATCACGGTCGGGGGAGCTGGCGCGTGGGCTCCAGGACCACGCATCTCGGGTCGGGCGAAAGGGGGGGATAGCAAAAGGGGGTGGGTGAGAGTCAGCTCACGTAGCTGATTTTCCCGGCGCCTCCCGGCGCTGGAGGCGGCTATGTATCGAGGAATGGGCCCCTCGGTGGGGCCGAAACCAGCTGCATGCGGCAAATTTCGTAACCCCCCCTTTCCCAATCCCCCCCCTTTCGTCCGGCCCGAGCATCAGGAAGGGTACAGTCAAAACCAGGAAGCTGATGGTAAGTCGGGACGATGTTTTTTTGACTATGCTTGCATATTCGTCCTGTAGAGGGGCAAGTCCGACTTAAAGCTCCTGCAGACACACGAAAACAAGGACCCGTCGCTAGTCCACGCGCATCGATCCGTGTTTGCGCTTCCTCGGCTGACGCTGCCCCTGACGTTGCCGCCCGAACGTTGTCCCTGATGGTCGCAGCGGAAGCCGACCCTGACGTTGTCCCCCGAACGTTGCCCCAGATGGCCGCAACAAAAGCCGAAGAGTGGCAGTGAGAGGGAGCAGGCATTCTCTGAAGGCGGCGGGGCTTCGGAGAAGGCTTCGAAAGCTTCTCAGAAAGTCGGGGAGGCCTTCCGAGCCTTCCGAGAAAGCCCGCCCCCTCCTGCCCTAGCCTCCATGGGGGAACCAAACAAACGATGCTCGGCTACATGCAGGGGTGACCCTGGGTAAGAGTGACCTTTGGTGCGCGGCTTTTTGGGGGCCGAGGGGGGGCCAAAAGGAAATGCGCAAGACGCCAATGCCGCCTCGCGTTCGGCGATCGGGGGGAAACCAAAAGCTACCGATACCGCGACTCCCTAGACCTCCCCCAGGGTGCGCTCTGACCTCCTCTGACCGCCAAGCCGACCCCCCCCCCGAATTAAGACGACGCTAGGACGAGGATAACATCGGATGAAGAGGAATCGAGAATCTCGGAGATCCGGCGGCTCTGCAGGATGGCCCAGGCGCCCCGGCCTTCTCAGAGCGTTCCGGAACGCTCTGAGAGCGTTGCGGAGCGCTCCGGAACGGACTTGTCCTCGTCCCAGCCCCGCCCGAAACCAGAAGCCACCGATGCCGCGACTCCCCGGACCTCCCCCACTCCCCCCTCGCCATCGCTCGGACGTCCACTGCCTGTGCTTCTTTCGCTTTCGTGCGCGGCTTTTTCGCCAAATGATCAAGGATGCTCCTCGATTGTCCTCCCCGAAGGAAAAATGCACACGTCCGAGCGATGCCAAGGAAGCTACCCATACCGCGACGGCCCGGACCTTCCCCCGCTCCCCCGAGGGTGCGCTCTGACCAGAACCTCGGCGCAAACCCCGCCGCGGCGACGAGAGGCCTCTCAGGGGGACCAAGAAGGCGACGACTGGGAGGGGGCAGGCAGCGGTGTCGATACAAAACACACACAAACGGAAAAAAAGCTAACAAACACACACAGTGTGTGTGTGTGTATGTGTATGTGTATGTGTATGTGTATGTGTATGTGTATGTGTATGTGTATGTGTATGTGTATGTGTATGTGTATGTGTATGTGTATGTGTATGTGTATGTGTGTGTGTGTGTGTGTTTGTTCCCACTGTGTGTGTGTTTTTCCCCACAGTGTTTTTCCCCCACAGACGTGTGTTTGTGTGTGTGTTTCCTCTGATCCCTGAGCCGACCCCACCCGTAACGCTGCCCTTCCAGCGTGCGTGCTGAAAAATCACCCTCCGCTACCGTAGACCCATCTGGACGGCCTCCAACCTCGGCAGGAATTCCGATGTCGAGGTGCTGGCGCTGCGATGTAGCCCTCCTGGAGGGTCATGGAACGCGGCCCCGGAGGAGCGCGGCGAGAAGCCTATAAGGGGGGCCGAGATGGCCGGGCAGGGGCCAGGGGGCCTCCTCCTCCTCCTGCTCTTCTTCCTCCTCCCCCTCCCCCTCCTCCTCCTCCTCCTCCTCCATTTCCTCCTCCTCCACCAGCCCCCCCAGCCCCCCCCAGCCCCTCCTCCTCCTCAACCTCCTCCTCCTCCTCCTCTTCCTCCTCCCCCTCCATTTCCTCCTCCTCCTCCTCCGCCTCCTCCTCCTCGGTGGGGGGCCTTGAGGCGGAGCGTGAAGCCGCGGGCCACCCTCTGGATGGCGATGGCAGCCTCCGACATGCGGCGGCGGGGCGTTGGGAGGAAAGTCCTGGGAGGTCTTCGCTGGAACGTTTCATACGACGGTGCCAGGACGCTGATCAATCGGGTGAGGATAACCCAAGACGGTTTTTAGAACCCCCCTCCTAGAAACAAAAAAAAACACGTGAAACTATGTTTTCTGGCGGCCTTATTAGCGGATTGGTTTCCTACCAATAAAAAGAAACAAAGTGTTGTTCCCCCGCGGCACCCACCAGCAGCGGTCTCATGGAAAATAGTGGTGCGAAAGAATTGGTACTGAACAGCTGCAGCCTGAAAGCTCTATCCTGAGAAGGGCTGTTGAAGCTCAGGCATATCGCGGACCTTCCGACAATCCACACTCACAATATTCATCCTCAGGAGCTGAATCCTCAACGCTACGGCTACTGGTACAACTATTACTACTACCACCACGAAGATTACTGCTGCTACTACTACTACTACTACTACGGCTACTACTGCTGCTACTACTACTACTACTACTACTACTACCACTACTACTACTACTACGCCTACGACTACGACTACCACTACGACGACGACGACGACGACGACGACGACGACGACGACTACTACTACTACTACTACGACTGCTACGACTACTACGACTACTACGACTACGACTACTACTACTACTACTACTACTACTACTACTACTACCACTACTACTACAACTCCCACGACTACTACTACTACCACCACGACTACCACCACTACTACTACTGCTACGACGACTACTGCTACGACAACTACTACTACTAACAATCCTGAATATCACACAATCAGCACTACAACAACAACAACAACTACTACTACTACTACGAGAACAACACCTACTACTAATACTACTACTACTCCTACTACTACTACTACTATTATTACTACTACTACTACTACTACTACTGCCACTACTACGACTACGACGACTACCACTACTACTACTACGACTACTACTACTACTACTACTACTACTACTACTACGAACACTACTGTTACTACTACTACTACTACTACTACTACTGCTACTACTACTACTACTACTACTACTACTACTACTACGAAAACTACGACTACTACAACTACTTCGACTACTACTACTACTACTACGACTACCACTACTACTATTACTACCAATACGACTACTGCTGCTACTACTACTACGAATACGACTACGACTACGACTACTACTAATACGACTACTACTACGACTACTACCACTACTTCTGCGACTCTTACGGCTACTGCTACTACTACTTCTACGTGCACTCCATATTCTACTACTACGACTACCACTACTACTACTTTACTACGACTACTGTTACAATTACTACTACTACTGCTACTACTACGACGACGACGACTACTACTACTTCTTCTACTACTACTACGACGACTACTACTATGGCTACTACGACTACGGCTACTACTGCTACTGATGCTGCTCCTGCTGCTGCTGCTACAGCTACTGCTGCTACTACTTCTACTTTGCTACTACTACTACTACTACTACTACTACTACTACTACTACTACTACTACTACTACTACTACGATTACTACTACGACTACTACTACTACTACTGCTACTACTACTACTACTACTGCTACTACTACGGCTACTACTACTACGACTACTACGACTACTACTACTACTACTACTACTACTGCTACTACTACTACCTATACTACCTATACTACCTATACTACCTACTACTACTACCACTACTACTACTACTTCTACTACTACTACTACTACTACTACCACTACTACTACTACTACTACTACTAATAATACCAATACTACTACTACTACTACTAGTACATATACTATTACTACAACTATTACTACCACTAAGACTGCTACTACTACTACTACTACTACCACCACTACTATCACTATCACTACTACTACTACTACTACTACTACTACTACTACTACTACTACTACTACGACTACTAGTACTACTACTACTACGACGGCCCCTACTACCACTACTACTACGACTACTACTACGACGACCGCTACTACTACTGCTACCACTACGACTACTACGACTACTACTACTACTGCTGCTACCACTGCAACAACTACTACTACTACTACTACTACTACTACTACTACAACTACTACTACTACTACTACTACTACTACTACTACAACTACGACTACTACTACTACTACTACTACTACTACTACTACTACTACTACTACTACTACTACTACTACTACTACGACGACTGCTGCTACTGCTGCTGCTGTTCTGCTGCTGCTGCAACCACAACTGCTTCTACTACGAATGCTGCTGCTGCTGCTACTGCCACTGCGGCTGCTGACTCTGCTGCTGTTAACAGTCCTACTACTACTACTACTCCTCCCACAAGTACTACTACTACTACTGCTACTTACTCTTACTACACTACTATACTACTAATTATTTTATACTACTTACTACTTGACTACTACTACTATCCCACTTACTATCTTACTATTACTACTACTCTACTACGTTTACTACTACTACTACGACTACTCACTTACGATTACACTACTACTACGAGTTTTTTTTTGTTTTTTTTTTTTTCTCTTTTTTACAGCTTACTACTACTACTTACTACTACTACGAATGCGCGGCGACTACGACTAGTACTACTATTACAGGTACGACTGTTGCCACAACTTCCGCGTCTACGGCTATACTACTACTAATACTACTACTACTACTACTAGACTACTACTTACTTACTGATACGGACAACGACTACTCACTTACGACACCAACAATACTACTACTATACTATACTACTACTTACTACTACAGCTACTTACTACTACACTTTACTACTACTACTACGGCGACTACTACGACGACTACGACCACGACGGCTACGACTACTCCTGCAACTACTACTACTGCTACTTCTACTACTACTACGACTACGACTACTACTACAACTACAACTACGAGTCCTACTACTACTACTACTACCACTACTACTACTACTAGCCGTACTCATACGCCTACCACGACGACTACTAATACGAACACTAGTACGACTGATACTGTTACTGCTACGTATGCTTCTCACGCGACTACTACTGCTACCACTACCACTACTACTACTACTACTACTACTACTACTACTACAACCACTTCTACTAATACTACCTCTACTGCTACTACTACTACTACTACTACTACTATTACTACTACTACTGCTAACTATTACAAACTATTACAACAACAACTACTACTACTACTACTACAACTACTACTACTACTACTACTACTACTACTACTACTACTACTACGACTACTACTACTACTGCTACTGCTACTCCTATTACTGGTACTACTACTACTACTCCTACTACTACTACGACTACTACTACTACTACTACTACTACTAACTCCTACTACTATCACTACTACTACTACTACTACTACTACTACTACTACTACTACTACTACGACTACTACTACGACTACGACTACGACTACGACTACGACTACTACTACTACTTCACTACTACTACCCATACTACTACTACTGCTTCTTACTATTTCCGACTTCGGCTACGACTGTTACTACTACCACTACCACTACTACATACTACTACTACTACTTACTTACTTACTACTACTTAGACTATACTGGAAGAAGTCGCGTCGAGGCTGGGCCCGCGCTAACGCAGGGCACAACCGTCGACTGGCGCAGGCCCAGGCCAGGCGGCGGGGTGAGCGCGAGTCGGCGTCGCGGAGCCGAGCAACCTCGCCGACGCCTCCCCCAAGCCTGGCGCTGGGTCAGCCCAGCCTCGACACAACTAGCAGCCACTGCAACGCCAGTGCGCTCGCGCAGCAGGGTCGGGCGGGTGGGGAAAAACGCATCCCGCCAGCGGGACGGCCACGCGTGAGACAAATCCCATTCACCTGCGACGAGAACGCGCTCGCGGGCGCGCAGGGTGGGGATCCGCCTCAGCCGTGAATAGCCGTCCCGCAGCATTAGAGAAAAGCAAGAAGATAGCCAATAGGGGCCACGACGCTCGCGCGACTTCTCCCCGCGCTCAAATGCTGCCCAGAGCGCCCATGAGAAGTCGCGTCGAGGCTGGGCCCGCGCTAACGCAGGGCACAACCGTCGACTGGCGCAGGCCCAGGCCAGGCGGTGGGGCGAGCGCGAGTCGGCGTCGCGGAGCCGAGCAACCTCGCCGACGCCTCCCGATGCATGCTCGGCGGAACGACGCCCAAGCGCGCTCTAAGCAGACCGCAGATGCCTGGTCTGCTTGACTCACGGCCTGGGCGGCCCCTGCACCGCTTTCGCGGCGATCGGCGCGTCCTGCGCGCCGCGCGCCGCCGCGGAGCCCCGACCCCGATGCCTGCAGGGCGGCGCCTCGTCGGAATCGGAGTGCGCGATCTCGGCTTCTGCCGCCAGCACCATGGCTCGCGTCTTTGCGGCCGGGTACCTGTGCGCCGCCAAGCGCCGCGCCCTCGCGACCCAGGCAGCGCGGCCGAGCCCCCTGTCGGAATGGAGTGCCCGAACGCGGCCACAGATCTCCAACCCCCTTCGAAGAACAGCGCTGCTGGCCCCCCGGTGCGGAGTGCCTGCGTGCGAGAGACACGAACTGCGCGCGGGCCCTGGGCAGGCAGGGGACGGCAAGGGGAGCCCATGCCTGGTCGGCCCGGCCGCGCCTGAAGCAATGCGTCCCCCACTCCAATGCCCTATGGAGCCCGAGGTGGGCTGCGGCGAGCTCGACGCAAGCCAGCCCGTCCACGTAAGAGACGCCCGGCAGGAGCTGCTCGCCGGGCCGGAGCGAATGCCGAATGATGCAGACCGCACACAATCGTTTGCCCTGGAGCTGGCATACGCATACCCTCCAGACCTCGCGATGCGGGGGGCCCGGGGCGCGCCCCGCCGCGCGCGCGCGCTCGGCCCGCCGGGTCGGGGGCCACTCTCCCCTTCCGCTGGCGGAATTGCACCTGCA